CTCTGGCTCATCCTCTGCCTCGGGGCCCCTGCCTCTGGCTCATCCTCTGCCTCGGTGGCTACTAGGGCGTGAGAACCTGATGTGAGAGAGATTGCATTTGGATTTGGTCAGGGAAATATTAGGTTACCTGGTTTTTCTTTACACTTCACTCATTTTAGGGAATGGGCCAATTTGGTATTGTTTTGAATATGTGTTTCTCATGAATTTTCATTCACAGAAAAAGACTTCCAAATGACGATACCAGCACCTATCTGTAAGATTTACCAAGCTGTATTCTATTATGAATTTCATAAGGGAAAGTTAATTAAAAATGGGTTACATGCATCTTTCTTCAGTTACTATGATAGGTAATAAAAAGCTTCCATATTATTGTGAGTTCCCAGAATGTTTCTACATTAATATAGCTGAGAACAACGTCGCCCATGGCAGTTTGGTTGGCCTGCTGGCTTTGCAGACCCGCCCCCTGGAGGTGGACCCCGTGCTGTCTTTGCTGCTTTTGTCTCCGACACGCTGTTCTGTCCAGGCAGAGCCTGGGCTGGTCTGGGGCTTGGGCACCTGCTGTCTCCCTGCTGCCCGCTCCTGGTGGTTGCCCCGCCCTCCCACACTGCCAGGAGGTGGCAGGAGCGCGGGGCCGCGGCCTGCTTTCACATCCCTCTGTGTCCTCTGTCCGTGTGCTTAGTGTCTGGGGGAAGACGTCATGCCCAGAGCACACCGAGTCAGTCAGATTCAAGATTCATCCGATGTGTTCTCCCTAGAAGGGAGGAGTTCTGCAGATCGTCTGGGCCTCCCTACATCTCAGTCCTGTACGTGGGGAGCAGGTGGCCTGGAGGGGCCCACAGAGCCGCTTGTGCCCAGCCTCATGCAGCAGCCCCTCTCAGGTTGGACCTCCCCCTCCTGTTGGCACAGATGACGGTGGGTGGAATTACGGTGCCTGCTCTCCTGGCCACTCAGAAGGCACATGATGGGCAGCTCTTGTGTAAGGGGGCAGACGTGTGCCTGAGTATGATGGCACGGGGGCAGTGTTCTGAGGGTGGCCCTTGAGGATGCCCTGGTGCAGGGGGTGCGATCGGGCTGGAATCCTCGGGCCCCGCAGGCTGGATGGTACGCCCCTCCCTCCCAGCCCCACTGCCCGCAGGCCTCCTTTGCACATCGGGCCACAGGCACGCCTCCGCTTCCTCGATCTTCCCCGGGTTGCTCAGAGGGCTTGGGGCCGATCGTTTCCTGTGTTGCTCTTGTCCGGCTCCTTACCTCTCACTTTCCTTCCCACCGTCCTTCATTGCTGCCCATGGTCTCTGCTCCCTGGATGCGGAGTCCACTGGCCCCCAACTCCCTCCTGGTTCTCCCCCCTTGGCTGGGTGCTTCTGAGGGGCTGCTGGTTTCCTGGTTCTCCCCTGAGGGAAGAGCCCCAGTCAGGAGCCCGTCAGTGGGGAAGCAGCCCCCACGCTTTAGAATGGCACGGTTGGCGGGGCTCCCTAGGCTGTCGATCCACCTTGTGCTGTCTTCACCAGTCACCCTTTGAGGTATGACAGGCACCTTCTGGACAAGGACGCCGAGTCCCAGGGCCTGAGTCCAAGGCTGGAGTGCTAATAAGGCAGAGTGTGGACACTGTCCTGGTCCCGTGGATAGGAGGATCCTTGTGGTCACGTACGAAGACGGGGACGGACCTGAATTGTAGATGCCCTCTTGGCATTAAAATGTGCACGTCTTCCTTCAGCGGACCTTTCCCTGGGTGATGGGGATGGTGACCGTGTTGGCCAGTGGGAGATATTTGTGTGGGGTATTCGGAGCCAGCCTGTGATGCCAGCTCAAGGCCTGAACGCTCTTACTTGGTTGCTGCTTGAACAGGGAGGTGTTTTCCTGTGCAGAGTGGGGGCCTTCGTGATGACTCAGGCCAGGCAAGGGCCAAGTAGGGATCAGCCGACACCAGCAGAGGTTCTCAAGTGCTTCCTTTGAGGAGTGCCCTGGACCCCACAGACTCTGTGAAGTGGAGAAGAATGTGGCCTGGGTGCCACGAAGAAGCGGTCACCGCCAAGAACTTGTCCCTGAGGTGCTGCCCGTGTCCAGGGCTGGAAATCAATGTTTGCTAAGTGCTATGGATTATGTTGCTAAAGAGCTGAGGGCCGCTCTCTTCCTAATCACGCAGCAGCAACTGTTTGGTTGGGAAGTGTCAGGTAAGCCTTCACGCTGGGACTCGGGGAGCCCCATTCAGGTAGAACCGGCCACCTCCTCTGGAGCCGAACTCGGTGACATAAGGAATTCGTGTTTTCAGAGTGGGAGCAGCTTAGAGTCCAGAGTAAACTCATTGCTATTGTTAAGGATTGCTATTTTAATCGCATGCTTATAATGACATTTGTCATCTTGTAAAGTAATACGTCTTTCTCCTGCATCTCCAGATCCACATAGACATCCCTCGAATGAGTCCAGAAGCATTAATACTTCAACCCAAAGTGACAGAGGTAAGAGCTGGGGATCTGGAAATGCCTGTGGGGAGGGCGTTTCCTCCGTCGGGGTGGCGGGTTCCCACGGAACTAGTGAGATGGTTGGTGCAGTTGGGGTGCTTACCCATCACAGGTTTGGGGGTAGCCCTTGTGAACATAGTCCCGGACAAGAACCGCTGATTGTTCTTAAAATAGTTTGTGTGTAATATTGATGCACATAAAGGGTACAGGCATGTGTAGGTGGAGCACATACACTCGTGTCCATTCCCACTGAGGACCGGGAACCCCACTCGCGTGGGGCCCATCGTGTTGGAGCTGCTCCCGGTTCTCACACTGCCCTCAAGGGGCCCCCAGGACATGACCCACCTCCTGACTCTGTGATTCCCCACGACCTCAGTGCGTGTCGTGTGGTGTTGTGGTCAGTCCGTATCCAGGAAGCAGTGGGGGCCGCGTCCTTCCTCCAGTAGCCTTGTCCTGCTGCAGCTGGTGGTTTTCTTCCGTGTTATTTTCTCAGATTCATCCAGTCTTGTGTCTGCTTGTGTAACAGTCCATCATTTAAATATCGCACACTTTCTGCGGCCTTCTTCCCGTTGTCAGGTATTTGGGTGGTGTCTCGTGTTCTGTGCTCGGGACCTTCAGGCACTTTCTTGCAGGTGTCCACGGGCCGGAGTTTCTCTGGGGCACTGCCGTAGACGTGAACCGGTTGTGTGCTGGGGTGTGAGCCTGTTGAACCCGCAGGCTGGTGTCAGCTGCTCCCAGGTGGGCTGTGCTCCTCGAGAGCTCGCCTGCGGAATGTGAGTCCCGCGCTCCGCATCTCCACCAGCACTTCCCACTTGGTGTCCCTCCGGCAGGCATTCTTGTGGTGGCCTTCATCTGCATGTCTCTTGTCCAGGTGGCAGCAAGCACCTCTCCCTGGATTTATGGGCTCCTGTCTTGCCTGTTCTGCGAGATGCTTGTTTCTGTCTTTTGCCCGTTTTTTGGGGGGTTGTTGATCTAATTTTTTACCGGCTGCTGATCTTTATATGTTAAGGATTCTAAGTCTTTGTCAGTTTGCGGGTCACACGCGTCCTCTTCAATGCCGTGGCCGCTTCTCACTTCTTGGCGGCTTTTGGGGACCAGAAGTTCCTTGTTTCCATGTGGTCGAACTTCTCCGTCTCTTCAGATGTTCCACGCATCTGTCGTTGCCTGCTGTGCACGATGTGAGGTAGGAATCCAGTGAACTTGCCCATGGAGTGACCCGTCGGGCCCGGCCCCGTGCATGGCCGCCACCTTGTCTGCCTGCATTTGCAGCCTCCCTTGTACATGTGTTTCCGTGGTCTCTGTTTCGGCCCAGAATTCAAGGTGTCTTCCCTCAACACTACATTGGCCAGTGAGTTCAGCTGCGTCCTGAGTGGCCCTGCATGCGGGTGGAGCCCCAGCCCCCCCTTTGCTGGTAGGCCTCAGGCCCTGGCACGCCCACCTGAGCCTCACGGTCAGATGGCCCCAGCTTCTGTGTGCCCCGTTGGTGTTTACTGTCTGCTGGTTGTGTGGTGGGAGTTGCACAGAGTCTGGAGACCAGTTTGGGAGGATGGACGTCTTGGTGAAACCCAGTCTCCCTTGTCACCAACGTGTGGATTTTCCATGTTCTAGGCCATTTCAGTGTAGTTTTAGAATGTACTCCATAAAAGGTCTTGTGTGTGTTTTATTAGATTCGTTCTTAATTATCATATTTTTTGCTGCTATTATAAACAGTATCTCTTTAAAATGGATTTTTTTTACCGTTTGAAGTATTTTCTTTGCATCTTGATTGCTCCCCTAAATGCACTTTTATTTTTTTTTAATTTTATTATGTTATGTTAGTCACGATACAGTACATTAGTTTTTGATGTAGTGATCCACGATCCATTGTTTTCGTATAACACCCAGTGCTCCATGCAGTACGTGCCCTCCTTGATACCCATCACCGGGCTAACCCATCCCCCCACCCCCTCCCCTCTAGAACCCTGTTTGTTTCTCAGAGTCCATCGTCTCTCATGGTTCGTCTCTCCCTCCGATTCCCCCCCTCAGTTTTCCCTTCCTTCTCCTAATGTCCTCCATGCTATTCCTTATGTTCCACAAATAAGTGAAACCATATGATAATTGACTTTCTCTGCTTGACTTGTTTCACTTAGCATCATCTCCTCCAGCCCCATCCATGTTTGTGTAAAAGTTGGGTATTCATCCTTTCTGAAGGCTGAGTAATAGTCCATCGTATATACGGACCACATCTTTATCCATTGATCTGTTGAAGGGCATCTCGGCTCTTTCCACAGTTTGGCTATTGTGGACATTGCAGCTCTGAACATTGGGGTGCATGTGGCCCTTCTTTTCACTACATCCGTGTCTTTGGGGTAAATACCCAGGAGTGCAATTGCTGGGTCATAGCGTAGCTCTATTTTTAAGTTTTTGAGGAACCTCCATACTGTTTTCCAAGCGGCTGCACCAACTTGCATTCCCACCAACAGTGTAAGAGGGTTCCCCTTTCTCCACAACCTCTCCAGCATTTGTTGTTTCTTGCCTTGTCCATTGTTGCCATTCTAACTGGTGTAAGGTGGTATCTCCATGTGGTTTTGATTTGAATTTCCCTGATGGCTAATGATGATGAACATTTTTTCATGTGTCTGTTAGCCATTTGTATGTCTTCTTCAGAGAAGTGTCTTTTCATATCTTCTGCCCACTTTTTGACTTGAGTATTTGTTTTTTGGGTGTTGAGTTTGAGAAGTTCTTTGTAGATCTTGGATACCAGCCCTTTGTCTGTGGTGTCATTTGCAAATATCTTCTCCCATTCTGTGGGTTGCCTCTTTGTTTCGTTGACTGTTTCCTTTGCTGTGCAGAAGCTGTTTATCTTGATGAAGTCCCAAAAGGTCATTTTTGCTTTTGTTTCACTAGCTTTTGGAGATGTATCTTGAAAGAAGTTGCTGTGGCCGATGTCAAAGAGGTTACTGCCTATGTTCTCCTCTAGGATTTTGATGGATTCCCGTCTCACATTGAGGTCTTTCATCCATTTTGAGTTTATCTTTGTGTGTGGTGTTAGAGAATGGTCGAGGTTCATTCTTCCATGTTTAGCTGTCCAATTTCCCAGCACCATTTATTGAAGAGACTGTCTTTTTTCCATTGCATGTTTTGTCCTGCTTTATCAAAGATTATTTGACCATAGAGTTGAGGTCCGTATATGGGCTCTCTATTCTGTTCCATTTTTCTATATGTCTGTTTTTGTGCTAGTAACATGCTGTCCTGGTGATCATGGCTTTGTAATATAGCTTGAAATCGGGCAGCGTGATGCCCCCAGCTTTGTTTTTCTTTTTCAACATTTCCTTGGCGACTCGGGGTCTTTTCTGATTCCATACAAATTTTAGGATTGTTTGTTCCAGCACTTTGAAAAATGTCATTGGAATTTTGATTGAGATGGCATTGAAGGTATAGATTGCTCTGGGTAGCATAGACATTTTAACAATGTTTATTCTTCCGATCCATGAGCACGGAATATTTTTCCATCTTTTTGTGTCGTCTTCAGTTTCTTTCATGAGTGTTCTGTAGTTCCTAGAGTATAGATCCTTTACCTCTTTGGTTAGGTTTATTCCGAGGTATCTTACAGTTTTTGGTGCTATTGTAAATGGAATCGTTTCTCTAATTTCTCTTTCTACAGTTGCATTGTTAGTGTATAAGAAAGCAACTGATTTCTGTGCATTGATTTTGTATCCTGCCACATTACTGAATTGCTGTATGAGTTCTGGTAATTAGGGGGTGGAGTCTTTTGGGTTTTCCACATAAAGTATCATGTTGTCTGCGAAAAGAGAGTTGACTTCTTCTTTGCCAGTTTGAATACCTTTTATTTCTTTTTGTTGTCTGATTGCTGTTGCTAGGACTTCTAGTACTATGTTGAACAATAGTGGCCAGAGTGGGCATCCTTGATGTGTTCCTGATCTTAAGGGAAAGGCTCTCAGCTTTTCCCCATTGAGGATGATATTCGCTGTGGGTTTTTCATAGATGGATTTTATGAACTTGAGGAATGTTCCCTCTATCCCTATACTCTGAAGAGTTTTAATCAGGAAAGGATGTTGTATTTTGTCAAATGCTTTTTCTGCATCAACTGAAAGGACCATATGGTTCTTCTCCCTCCTCTTATTAATGTGTTCTATCACACTGATTGATTTGTGAGTGTTGAACCACCCTTGCATCCCGGGGATAAATCCCACTTGGTCATGGTGGATGATGCTTTAATGTATTGTTGGATTCTATTAGCTAGGATCTTGTTGAGGATTTTGGAATCCATATTCATCAAGGATATTGGTCTGAAATTCTTTTTGATGGGGTCTTTGCCTGGTTTGGGGATTAAGGTAATGCTGGCCTCAAAGAATGATTTTGGAAGTTTTCCTTCTGTTTCTATTTTTTGAAACAGCTTCGGTATTATTTCTTCTTTGAATGTTTGGCAGAATTCCCCAGGGAATCCATCAGGCCCTGGACTCTTGTTTTTTGGGAGGTTTTTGATCACTGCTTCAATCTCGTTACTGGTTATTGGCCTATTCAGGTTGTCAATTTCTTCCTGTTTCAGTCTTGGCAGCTTATAGGTTTCCAGGAAGGCCTCCATTTCATCCAGATTGCTCAGTTTATTGGCATATAATTGTTGATAATAATTTCTAATAATTGTTTCTATTTCCTGGGTGTTAGTCGTGATCTCTCCCCTTTCATTCATAATTTTATTAATTTGGGTCCTTTCTCTTTTCTTTTGGATAAGTCTGACCAGTGGTTTATCGATCTTATTAATTCTTTCAAAGAACCAACTTCTAGTTTTGTTGTTCTGATCTACTGTGTTTCTGGTTTCTAATTCATTGATCTCTGCTCTAATTTTGATTATTTCTCTTCTAATGCATGGCTTAGGCATCGTTTGTTGCTTTTTCTCTATTCCTTTAAGGTGTAGAGTTAGTTGGTGAATTTGGGATTTTTCTATTTTTTTGAGTGAGGCTTGGATGGCTATGTATTTCCCCCTTAGGACCGCCTTT